GCACTGAGAAAAGAGAAGTAAATACCTGACCCTAACTTTACATTACAATGTGCTTTGATATGAATGTGCATCACTTGAGCTAACTTTACATTGACAATGTAGCACTTCTTAAAATAATCTCTGAATTATTTTACTTTAGTGACAATTTTGCAATTTTGAAAAATGCTGTTGAACTGAAGCTAAATTCTCATCGTTCAACAAAATCACTTAATTTGTTCTTGAATTTTCAGTAAATGCTAAATATAGTGATAGTGACCAGCCAATGCTAACACTAGCCTATCCATGCTAGTGACCAGCAGAGGTGATAGGCAGTCCAGAGGGTGACCATGCTAGTCGTTAGCTTGTCCACAGCTAACGCAAGTGAGTGGTCGTCCTTTGCCAGTACCGCCCGTTCAGCTACTAGTTCTTGTTACTCACTTTGAAATGAGTAGCTTGCTGAGCCACAGCTAGTATATAAAATTGTTAATTTTGGTGCTGCTAAGTGCCATAAAGGATCATCTTTCAACAAAACAGTGACTCAAAACATGCCTCCAATGCAACAGTAGAATATTTTATATCCAAAATATTTGTGTTAGAATGTTCTTGGCTAAAAGTCAGACCTAAATCAAACTGGGAATCTTCTGCAAGATTTGAAAAATCCACAGACACTCTCCAGAAATTTCACAATGAAGAATGGGCAACATTGTGAGGTTAGGGGTAAGGACGGCCACAGGAGCAAACCAGCTATAGATGGAGTGAAATGTGGTCCTGCAGGTATTGACTCAACGGAATATAAATTCACGCCACAGGTCTTTGATTTATATTTGTAAAATCCATTGAAAGCCATGTCTTATTTTTGTTTTACCTCACATTTAGGCAGTTATTGTGTCATAAATACTAATTTCTCATCATCAAAACACTGCACTGCTAAGGATATTCAGTACACCAGCTGCCAACTAGAGGCCTGCAAGTTAGGAGCAGTAAATTTAACCTAAAAAAATTTCAAGAACTTCCAGTTCAGTGTTTTCTCTTTTTGTTGGTATGTGATTTCTTTCCGTCTGTTCGGACGATTGAAGCAAACGAAGCTCGTCGTGCTTTATCTTCGTATGTTAGTGATCCACATTTATTCCACGCAACAGATGTGTTCTCATTCAACTAAAGAAGAAAAAAAAAGGTCTGCATATGAATGCAAACGCATTTTTGCATATCATTCCATCTATTAAATTTACAGCCGAGGCTCTGCTATGCTGGTAATGTTTTTGGAAGGAAATAAGTGGTCAGAGAGCAGCGTGAAATTTAGTGACTCCAGTTTGGGTGCTTTCGCACTTATCCCTCATCCATCACAAGACAGTCTGCATAGAAACTGTCTTCTGCTGGCATTTAGCAACACAATTTACCCCTGCCTCTTTGCATGCAGAGTCTATTTGTCACTTTAATCTCTGTTCCGTGCATTTATCTCCCTTCAGTCAGTTTAATGCACACAGCGATGGACTGTGGCAGTCTGTCACCTCGTGGCTGCATTAGGGCTTTAACGAGACTTTGAGGTACATTTTTCACCAAGATACACGAGCGTGCCTTTGCAATTTGCATGAAGGGAGAAAAAAAAATAAAACACAGACATATTGACCATTTCACACGTCTTTGCTCTCACGGGCATGCAAATGTATTTAGAAGGAAAGTCACAAATAATTAATCCTGTCTGAAGCCATCATGGTGGAAAAGGTCACTATGTCATGACCATTAGTTTAATCTCTGAGCAAAATGTGTTTATGTGCAGAGCAATCTGTTTGTTTCTCTGGTTGTTATGACTGCTCACAGTACGAGACATCAGTCATTTAGCCATTAAGTAAAACCTGCTGATTAATCAGAAGTTAAAAAACAGACAACTGCCAGTGTATTTAATCATTATTAGACAGAACAATGAGCTACTTTGTAGCTCTCTACATTTCGAAAACTTGTAGTTAGCTTGTAGCTGGGTCAATTTTACCAGCTTGTAGCTAGCTAAATTTCTCTACCTTGTAGTAGTGAAATTAGTTAGTGAATTTACTAACACATAAAATAAATCAATGCAACCTTTTTTTTTTTGCATTTCATCATGTTGCAATCACAAACTTCAATACATTTTACTAGAGATGCACTGATTCGATATCAATATCTGTATCGGTTCCGACATTAAAAAAAATGTTCTAAATCGTATATTGTGACAATGTGCCAGATCAATAAAGGCAGATCTATTCAGTCTAATTCTACGCTTTGTGCTGTGAGCGATGACACGCTTTATTATTTATTTTACATCATATTTAGAATTCATAATTGCACTTTCTGAACCATTTGAGTATTTTGCATGTTTGACCAAGGCAGTCAAGCTATCGTTTTTGTCAGTTTCAGTCTGGCTGTTACACTCCTACTTGCACTGAGAGAACAAATTAAAGTTATTTTTACATGTCTGACTGAGCTTGTGAAGCTATCGGTGTATTCCTGTGCTGTGCTGGTGCAGAGTTATCAGTTAAATTGGTAATTCAGTACATTTTAAGAAATGTTTTAAATTAAATCAGCATTGTTTTTCTGTGTTGGATGTTTATTGGCAGATACTAAACCTCAGACATTGGCATTGGATGTGAAAAAAGTGGCAGAACAGGGATACGGATTTTGTACCTCCAGAGCTGCATGTGGCTTTTCATAACTTTATAAAAAAAATTAAAAAAAAGCAGTTACATTTATCAAGTTTTCTTTTGAAATATAAGTATTCCACTACACAATACCACTGATTATACAAGAAATTGTTATACTGTAAGACACTCCTCTTGGCTCTGATTGGTTGGTTTGGAGAGCTGCATTTCTAGATGGGGATAGTAACACTGGGAGAAGATGGAGGAGCTTGATTGTTTTCACAGATTATCTGTCTCATAGCAAACTGTCACTATACAGGGATAGTTTTAATAAATATGCTTTTTTTTTTTTCTTTTTTGTAAAAGTTATATACTACAGCTTTAAGGGCTACTTTGTTTTGGTCCCTCACTAGCCAAGAAAATTCATTGACTTTTGAGGACGTAAAGTGACTTTCTTAAAAAAGAAGTTCAGGAGATATATATGTACATTTTTACACAGCAATTTATACATTTTTCAAAATATTATTTGATGAAAAAAAATCTGACTTTATCTAAACCAGCTAGAGACACGCAAGCCCCTTAATGAATTACAAGGTATGACTTTTCCATCATTACACAGCGCCGTCGTGTAACCAGATCAATAAATTTCCCCGCAGCCATCCCTTGTGCTGATAGCAGCTTTCTGCATGGTTCCAGAGGGTTCTGAGCGGTCTGGATCCAGGTCAGGCCGCTCCGCTGATAAACGTCTCCCCCGCTTTGATTTCCTGTCTAAGGCAAGAAATCATTCATGAGTTTCATCAGCCTCTCGGCCGTATAAATCACAGCAGTGCCAGACAGCAGGGCTAGCATTAGACGAGCCCTGTCCAGAAAGCGCCAGGACTAGCACCAGCTCAGGAAAAAAAAAGTCATGTGACTAAAGGTTAAAGGACAACGCTGTTGGAGTAATGAATGCCTCGTCCTTCTTTGGTGAAACTTAAAAAAGAAGTTCAAAGCAAAAGGAAGGAAACGCGACGTGAGTGATGAGCGTTTTTCACATTAGCAAAACATGCTTGAACCAGAGGAATGCATGAAGAACTGAATCCTAAACCAGAAATCTTTGATTCAACGTTAACTCTATCAGTCAATCAGTGAATTGAAAGCATCAGTGAGATTTATTGGCATTAGCCTTCACCTAGGACCTTTCTGGGCAGGTGCAGCTGCAACGATATGAAGGGACGGGGGAGGAGACGGAAAGAGGTAGAGGCAAGGAGAGTGGGGACTTCTTCTGAGCTGCTGCCATGTCATGTACATCTCCCATAAATCTGCCACGGACAAAGACAGGGAGAGAGAGAGAGAGAAAGAGAGAAAGAGAGAGCTAGTTAGCATTTGCATTTCGTCAGCATGGCTTTTACTCCTCTTCACGCCCAACCCTGTCCCCTCAGTGATATTTTCAGCCCCCAACATACTCTGAAAGCCTGCGAAGTAATTATTTTTATAAAGTTACACCTCTGCTGCCCACAGTTGGCCCACATTTGAAAAGCCAGAGCCAGTGATTAGCATTTTCAAGGCAGCGAGCCAGGAGAGGAATCAATCCGCTAACACAGGTTGGAGGGATCAGTGGATGGAAGGAATGATCCAACAAACCTTTGTTGCTTCAAATCAGGCTTAGAACTGTAATGTTTTAGGGTTTATGAGATGAGTTTCTGTTCCAAAAATGCAGTTAAAGTACCAGCTTTTGACCAGGATGTCTTCTTGTTCTGTATGTTTACTATGTCTCCAAAAACTGGTGGCAAAGGAGCTTCTGGTTTTCGTCAACGAAGGCATATTTCTGGTCACTTTACCATAAAGTCCGTATTTGTTGAATTCACAACTAATAGTCATTTTGTTGACCAGTTTTGTCTCCAGAGTTCGTTATTACTTATATTAATCTTCTCCTCGCCCAAGGTCGTCACTTTAGCTTACTGTGGCTTCATACTTTTACAATAAGCAATGCTAAGCATGGAGCTAATTTTTGAGATATCTGAGCTGGATTATGTTTTTTTTTTCTAATTTTCTTTTTTGGAGGCCAGGATGAAGTCTGGTCTGTCCGTGTATATCCCTGTGTCCATTTGCATTCTGTTACTGCAAAACATTATCAGACCATTAATCAAGTAAATATAACCAAAATTAAATCTAGAGCAACCATATTCTAGATTCAATTTTCTCCCTGATCTCTCCTGTTGTGTCCTTGAGCTTCTTTGGTGTTTCCTTCTGACTGAATATAATTGTACTATTTTGGGTTGCTTATTATTGTCACTATTGGTGCTCCATACTCAGTTCACTTCTTCGTTGTGAGTTTAGATGTTATTTTATAGTTCATCTTCTGTCTTTGGCCAGTCCATCCTGTCGTATTCCCACTCTGGTAATCTCTGTTAATCTCTCTCTTTCCCTCAGGTTCCCTGGTTCTTCACAGCTGTATTTTGATTTAGCCACACCTGGTTCCCAAGCCACTCATCAATCCTCTTCCCTTCAGTTCCTTCCCTCTTTGCCAGATACTTTTGTTCCTCTTTTTGTCTGTATCCTCCATGCAGGTTTCGCTGTCTTTGCTCGGTCCTCTCAGGTCACAGTTCCACCTCATCAACATGAGGCTGCTATGTTCTATCCTAGGTTTGAACTAAATAATTCAAAGAAAAAAAAATAAAAACACTTTTGTGTTACCAAAAGTTCAGAAGTTTGATGAGATGTCAAACTTAAGTAAAAAGTATCGGTATTGGCAAAATGGGCCGGATCGATACCCGAATATGCAGTATTGCACGCTTCTACTGAACACTGACTCAGCACTGAATCTAGGCATGTAAGACATGTTTTTAGATTAAATTTAAGACATTTTCAAATGAACCTCCACTTCTGTTGAAGTTTGTCACGTATTCTTTCAATTTGTAATAAAAGCTCTTTTACAATATGTGTGGAAATTAAAATCAAAGATTACAGCTGGAGATAATTATGACAAAACTATTCTAATGTCAAATCTTTTATATATATATTCCATTGTTGCCAACACTGAGCTAATCTTCATGATTCTGCTGTGACAGACAGAGAGAGAGAGAGAGAGAGCACAGATGAAACAAGGACAATGGGACTTTCTGATGCAAAAGGTTGTACATGTAATTCCTATGAAAACATCTGCATGAATGCAGGCGTGTATAACTGTACATATAACTCACACGCAAACTCGCAAATATCTGTCGGAGCTGCTTGCCGGGGCATGTTCACCCGAGCCGTAAAAGTGAAGACAGAGAAGGGCAGAGTGGAGCCCATCGCGATTTTCAGAAGTTATAAATAGAGGAAAAGCTAATAAACATTTATGGAGCAGCTGTAAATCGCAGCGAGTTCTGCTATCCTCACAATGTCATTGGAATGCCCTTTAGAGATGAGGCCATTACTCACCCAGGCTCCCACTGCGTTTTGAGCCGGTGGCTCCCATTGGCTGCAGCTCCGGGGGTCGTCCAATCAGAACCCCGATTGTGGCTGCCTGTGACATTCACAGGGTTCTGGGCGTCCTCGCCATGACATCATGATGCTTGGCCATTAATTTATCTGTGAGGTGTGAAATATAGGGTAAACTAAATGTTATTATCTCTTAAACATGTCAGTGTTAAAAGAAAAAAAAAACATTGGTGTGTTTGTAGGAAATGGGATTTGTTGCCTTGCTGGATCTTATTGTAAGATCTAGTTTTAGAGTCTCAGCAAATTAATGTATGAGCTAAACGTATAAGAGAATGCAAGACGAATTATTTGGACAGTAAAAGCTGTTTCATAAACAGGGTTCAATGACTTTGACCTAAATTTAAATATTTTCAATGATCCAGAAGTTAGAAAATGACTGAATGTCTGTTCAAACTGAAGGGAAAAAGCCTTATTGTAACCTTTCCTAATAGCAAAAAACTTAAATACATATTTTAAAAGCTACCACTTTGACCTAAAATTAAAATATCTTCAATGATCAAGAAGTTGAGAAGTGAAAGTCTGTTCAGACTGATGGAGAGAATTTGTTTTAGCCTTGCCAAACAAAAAAATGATTTTTTTTTTTAAAGTCTTGTCACATTGCTTACGTAATGTTTCACACCTACAAATATTACACTGTAAAAACAATGAGACTTGAAGACAATTTCTCACATAAAGTCTGATTTCTTCTGTGTCTGCAGGCTGAAGCAAATGATGGCGGGATTGTTTTCTGGCTGCTGCAACGACTCCTGAGCAGTGATGGAGTGTGTTATGTTTTAAAAGCTAATTAGCGTCACCAGCAGTATCAGCAGCCATCAATCTCCGGCTCAGTAAATAACCAGAATGGACCAAATAACCAAGTTTGGCCAATGACTGGGGTTGCAATTCTTGTCGCTAATGGTGGTCATTAACCTCTCGATGGCTAAATAATAGCATCTTAATTAATTTGCTTCAAAGACAAAGTTTGCAATAGAATTTAATTATATTAATGGCTGGAAAGCCACAAGGTGGACGGCAACAAGATTGGGAAACAAATACTTAAACTCAGATGAAGTTATAATGTCCGTATTCAAATGAGAGCGTCATGCGCTAGTCATTGTGTTGGGTTTAATTTGACTGACCTTCACAACAGGACAAAGGGCTTGTTTGTCAGACTGTTGGACTATTCTACAAAATGGTAATCAATGTTGTTGATGGTTTCCATGACTTATTACATATTAGTCAGATTAACAATGAATTGTGAAAATGTAATGACATTAGTTAATTTATTGGAATTTATCATGACAACAACAAATCTAAATTCTTGTCATGATAAGAAATTTATCACGATAAACGATACAATAAATGTCCATCCTAATCCCAAAGTCTTAGGAATGGCTTTGCAGACTGATAAGATGCCACTGGTGTTGCTTTTATTCTTGAATTTTTTTCTTAGAGATACTTTAGTCTATATAAATTACTTTATCAGTCTAGTTCTATTCAAATTATTTCTTTATTAATTTAACCTTGCAATAATCTAACCTGTTTGTGGCTGGTAAAGTTGAACTCAACCTTCAAAAAACAAAAATAAATAAATAAAAAATAGATGCACAGTTTATTGTTTAACACAGTTTAACTTTTTATCTTTTGTAACTAGCTTTTCAGATGCATCCATCCATTTTCTTTACACCCTTGTCCCTTGGTGGGGTCAGGAGGGTTGCTGGTGCCTATCTCCAGCTAACGTTCCAGGCGAGGGGCAGGGTTCACCCTGGACAGGTCGCCAGTCTGTTGCAGGACAACACAGAGACACACAGGACAAACAACCATGTACACACACTCACACCTAGGGGCAGTTTGGAGAGGCCAGTTAACCTGACAGTCATGTTTTTGGACTGTGGGAGGAAACCGGAGTACCCGGGGAAAACCCACGCATGCACAGGGAGAACATGCAAACTCCATGCAGAAAGACTGGGACTGGGAATTGAACCCAGAACCTTTGCTGCAAGGCAACAGCTGTACCAACTGTGCCACTGTGCAGCCCCCTTTTTAGACGCAGTTTTACACAATTATTTTTGTAAGACCGTAGGGCATTGAGCAACGTCATGATATCAAGTTCAACCATTTATATCTTCAAAATTTTACATTTGATTGATACATGTTTGCACCAAAACATTTCATCCTCTGTGGCTGCTTCTGAACAGCTGATGTAACAGCAGCGCCTCGTTTTTTTTGTTGAGGATGCATCGCGGTCCACATAACGCCACACTCTACATTCCTTCAACCAAGGCACATGTTTTTACTTCCACTGGCGTTTTTTTTTTTTTGGTTTTTTTTAGCCAGTGCCTCCATTTGCAATGACTCTCGGTGACAGTCACAGCAGATTAAGGCTTATCTCAGAGCAGAAAATTTTATGAACAGCGCATGCTGTGGTTTACTATTCCCGTTGCTCTGCTGCTGACCAGATAAAGATGCCCTAATTCGGTGAATTCAGCCTCAGTCCACACGTATTAGGCCTCCGTACAACCTTATTAACGTTCAGATTCTGCTCTCCGTTCACTCTTCTCCCTCATTCTGCACTCTGCCTCGCTTGCATTACTCCTCTTCTCCCTTTTAACCGCCCTCCCCTCTCTTTCTCCGGATATAAGTACAGCCAGATCTATTACTGGGCCCTGCGGATGTACCGAGACAAAATGAGAGACTTTGATTTTCTAATACCATTAGACTATATATAAGTGTGCGCGTGCGTATGTGTGTGGTTGGTGCAGGTGGGCGAGTGGGAGAGTGTGGAGATCTGATGGAGGACTCAATAAGAGAAGAAGAGCTGAGATTTATTAGTGGGACACAAGTCCAAAATCAATCAGGTGATTGAATCAGGATATTATTGGTCGTAAATTAGAGTTGTTTATGTCAGAGAAGGGAAGGAGCAGAGTAGAAGAAGACACTGAGTACGCTACCGACAATGGCAAGGTAAGCTTGTTGGTGGGATTATTTGATTCTTTATGACATGACTAATACATGGCTGAGTAGTTAAGTCAGAGAAATGCCCTTTTCGACAACTCAAAGCATTTTTTATGTTGTGTAAGCGGCGCAATATACACTGTCCTTTCAAGGAACATGTAATGTTTTTTTATTCTTCTTTGCCAGATAAACCCTTCAAAAAAGTAAATCTTCAGCCAGCAACCAAATAACATCAATGTTGATGGGCCACATGCAGTAAATAATGTTTTAGTGAAAGCACCATGTAACTACAAGTACACCGTTTCTAATGGTAGTTAATGTCATTTTTGTAAAAGTAATGGCACAGGCGAAGAAGAAAGAAAGAAAAAAAAAAACAAGTGGGTGTGTGTGTGTGTGTGTGCGTGTGTGTGTGTGTGTGTGTGTGTGTGTGTGTGTGTGTGTGTGTGCAACACTGAAGAGTGGTTGGCCTACCAAAATTACTCCAGGAGCAAATCAACAATTCATCCAGATAAGAACCATCTTCACATCACAGCGAAGAACATCTAACCACTGGAGGGCCTCGATCGCCTTGTTCTGAGTGTAATCGTCCCAAAAGTTTTGGGATGATATGTGATGGATTAAGGAGACAAATTGGATCCTATTGGATTGTGTGTCTCCACAGGATTAAAACTTGGTCTTAACATTTGTTACATATAATGGTGGCACAAGGTATGAGAAGTTTTGCTTTTTCACTGAGGACCAGATTTAAAGACTTTAAATTCCTTACATTGGCTCCTTGTAGCTCAGAGATTAGACTTTTATTAGTTTATAAATCACTGAACGCCTCAGCATTAAGATCCATTAAAGATATGTTGTTGTTGTTGTATCAACCTTCCAGGCTGCTCAGGTCTTTTTGTTCTGGTCTGCATCCCCAGAACCAGAACCAAACAAGGAGAAGCAGCATTCAGCTTAAGCCTTGTCTTAAGGCTGACTACATTTTATTTAGTATCTCTTCATTTCAACTTAATTCTTAGCTTTCACTTTAATTCAGTTTTTATCTTTCTCACTCATCCTCATCTGGTGCCTCCTTTCAGATCCCATTACACCTTCAAATCCCAACTTTCTCTCTGTTCCCATCTTGTATCTATTCTTTCCCTGTTTTTCTAGGTTCCCCTTCAGTCCTCCCCATCTGTAACCGGGTTTTATCAGTCATAGCAGGGCTGTTTGTCTATCAGTTACAAAGGCATGCCTCTGCCAAGAATGAGATAACAGAGGAGG